TCGTCATTTGTTATTATGTGATCGGGTTGTGTTGATAGCTAAGCTCCTGTGTACGTAAATACCATATAACCGGAGCATCCAGCTCACGCTTGAGATCCAAATGTTCGGCGATGAGAATTGCTGTGGCATGTTGGGTAACGAACTCAAGTGCTCTCTGTGGGAATGGTTTGGGGGGTTAAACTCATAGTGCATCCGAAAGAGTTAGGGAAAGGTGAGGGGAAAGGGGGCGGGAGGCCATTCAGTCATTTCTCGTCGTTGCCGTCTTGCTGGATTCTAGCGTGGCCTTTTGCCGGGGCTATGTATATCACGTTACCAACCTTTGCTATCATCCCAGTGATGGGGTGGTATTGGTGGTTATGCGTTCTAGTCCTGTCATTATCGAGTCACTTGTTTTCCCTTTTTGCTGTCAGTCAAATCTTGTTGTGAGTCCTACCGGTCATGTGCATGTTGTATGCATGCTGTGGAATGTGATGGTTTTGTGTATGAATCCCCGGAGTATATGGACGCACCCAACTAGGTGTATGCGTACATGCACTCGAGTACTTATACACGCAGACAACACTACATATTTGCACGTCCTTTCATACTTATCCGTGTATGCATACCTATTTGACATTACGTACACACGCAAACGCTTTCATATGCGTCTACCAATGCCTGTACTTACATTCATAAAAAAACGAGTACATCCACACGTAGTGACATTCACTTTTCCATGTATTGTGCGTTTTTGTCGCTATGTCTGTAATTTCGTCTGGTCGTGTCACTTTTAAGTTATGTCCCGTTACTGGTATGTGACCTGTCCGGTACTGTCTTATCATGTTCTGGTGGATGGTGTGTGTTGATGACGTTCTTGCTGCGTACACACTTCATTCCATTTGTTCTCATTAATTAACAGACATGCAGCAACACAATTTATGGGTTCTTCGAGTGCACTGTCATACACACAAGTATATAAATATACATGCTCCTATATATACACACACATGCACACTCATACCCACATATACATGGATACAGTAATACATTTCTATATCCATGTACTCGTTCATCTTTACCTGTCGCACAGCTATATTCCCACTGTCCTGTCCATACGTGATCCCTTACCATCCGCCTGCATACACCGTGTCTTATGTATCCATCCTATACATAAATGCACTCATACTACACGCACTCATCCTTGTGTATGTATCCATGTTCACATCTATGCACTCATCATACTTACACTACCTCCCTTACGCTAGGGAGTCCAGAGTTACCATCTGATCAGTTCGTTCTGCTGTACTGAGTAAATCCTTAATCTGGTCTTTTTAGTTTTGGATTGTTTTAATAAGGAGCTGTTTAACCAGTTTTTGGATGTCTTTATTGCTATCTACCTTTAAACATTTGTTTGCAGTAATCTGTTGTTTGCGTTTTAGAAAATACTCCACAATGGGTTTCCTCTCCAATTTATATTTAGTGCAGTTTATTATATAATGCTCTATTGTATTATCTTGAAAGCAGTCCAGACATAGTGGAGATGTAAATTTCTCTGGATGCCACCCCAACCTAGCTCTCCATAGTAGTTTGTTAGCTGGGATTTTCAGTTTGTCCCGTACCTGTGTGTTAAGGCTGGGCTCTTTAAGGTTGTTCTAGGCATCTCTGCCTTTAGTGCACCCTTGCCATTAAAGTTTCCACATTTTAATTATATGTCGTTTGATTATGCTAGTCCTTTCAGTTTTTCCGAGTCCTACATCTACTAAAACGTCACATTTAGCTCCCTTTTTGGCTGCTATGTCAGCTTTTTCATTGCCTATTACACCTCTGTGTGCTGGAACCCATGCAATGGTGACTTGGCATCCTTTATTCTTGAGCTGGGTTGTTAGACTTAAGATTGTTTCTTTAATATCTGGTAGCCACGCCCGTCTTCAGGCTATTTATATCTAAAGATGGCCGTGGTTAACCTGACCCGGTGACGTCAACAGCACCCGTCGTCGACAGAACGACTAACGTGGATCGGGAATACCCGATCATCGTTCAATGAAATTTTCTTTCGGTTTTATCACGGTCTTCTCTGTGTATCTGGAGCACTGCCTTCTCTAATAGAAGCTGGCCGTGATCTGGAGAATGCGGTGGGTTTTATCACGGCCGACTCTATTTATCTGGAGAAGGCAACGTGAATTTATATGTCAATGTTGACTAGAAATGGTTCTGTATTGCTGCCTACAGTCTGCACAGAAGTAAGTCCTTTGTGTAAAACACAGATGTGCACGCAAATTCATTGAACATGACCAAAGAACAAGACCAAAGTCTAGAACTGGACGAACACCCAGTACTTTCCAAAATATTTTACAGCTGCTGAATGGAAAGAACAAAAAGAATGATCCTAGCAATATAGTAGCTAACTATTGTTTATGATGGCAGTGCTTGCTTACTCGTTCTGTTGTATCTAAGATGTTCCTAATTTTAAACGGTGCTTTTATTCATTTATTCATAGAAAAAAGTGGGGCTGCGTGGTCTCAAGGTATGGTGTCCACTTCGAGTGCTAGAGGTCATGGGTTCATGCCTGGTGAGGGCTGTTATTTTGTTCATGTGGACCTAGTAATTTCCTGCTGGGTAGTAAGACCGGACGCCCGTGTGTATTGTTGTGCACGTAAAAAAATCACTTGGCAGTTGGAAATCGAAAAGAGTAGCCTAACGGCGCTGTCCAGGCAAATATTAGGAGCCTAAAAGCTACCCAAAGTATTTCAGGATCCTCGCTGGTGCAACAGAGTTCGTGCAATGCGCTGAGATTCTTCAGACTCAGACTTGTAGTTAGAGGAAAAACGGAGCACTTGTGGGTTGCACCCGTGTGCCATGATGTTGATCAGTTTAAAAAACATAAACATTCCTAGAAAAGAAATATATGTGTAAAGCCCTAAACAAATTATGTTCTAAAGCTGTTATGATCTTCATTTTGTATGTGCCTGTGTGTGTGTGTGTGTGTGTGTGTGCGCGCGCGCGTGCTAGCTAATTTGTTATTTGTTACTGTTGGCGACTAATTAGGGGTATTTCCTATGAAGTTGGAGTGCATCTGGTGACATGCAAAGAACCATCAATCTGCATATAAAGAAGCAAGATGTGTCAAACGAATGTGCAAGCAAAACGCAAGTTCTGGAACATGACTAGAGTAGTCCAGAAGCGAATAAACAACCAGAATTTTCCCCCGAGGTTAACGGTTGGTGAGCACTAAGAGGAAGAATAGCACAACACAGACCATGATCAAAAACTGAACAGACAAGACAGCTTATAAACGGGCAAGGTCAAAATAGAACCAAAAACTCAAAACAGGAGAAAGTATGAACATGCGAGGCTATATTACCAAACAAAATAAATAAAAGGACATCTGAAAAATTATATTTAATAATTTTTTTTTTTCAATATAAGCTTGTGTAATTTACAAAACATAACTTATTTAAATAATTTTTGTCAATACTTTATGTTGAAACAGTCCCTAGTAATCTTCTGCACGGACTAAGGTATTCCTGAAGACATTCCATCATGGCAACTTGTATCAGTCGAGAAGGCAAGTACTGAATAAGAATATTTTTTATTATTTTACATAAATGTGACTATGAGATGAATGTATTGATATATGACATGATCTCCTTCACTGGAAGAAGCACAAACGCTATTACTGTAATCATACAAAAACTTATGTTTGAAGATGATTAATGACATCTGCTCAGAGAGGCTGAATACCAAAAGAAATTTTACAGTACACAACAATGTTGACTCATAGTAGTATGTAGTCATGAGACTATAGTTCATTCCAAAACTCGTGCCCTCACACTTTAACAAATATCTCAAACAACTCCTCTACGGATCAACAGAAATTTGTGCATGTGATCTTAGATTTCCCTTGTACTTAAGATTTCAAATTTACAATTGCATGGGGCTGCTGTTTTCTTACAGTAGTAAATTTATGTGCTGTTTGTCAGATTCATAATTTGTGTACCCCTAAAACAAATAAGTATACAGTAAATGACACAGGTTATTTAATTTGTATGAGCCAGTCAGCAAGCATTATGGCTGTACATGACAAAACCACTTCACTATTCACAGTGAATTACCCCCTAAATGCGGGATGTTTGATGTTTTACAAAATTCACATCAATCCATTTACTCAAAAATGTTAAATGAATACTTTAAATCAGTTTCTGGTTTTTTTAAATATACCACAAATGAGGCACGCTCAAAATCTAAATTTGTGTTTACATTATAATTATTTTCCTTCAAGGACATGATTATTAAAATGTTGCATGACAAATTTAAACAATTTATACAGAATGGTTACTGAGTTCGAGATTTATAAAGTCAGGCATGACTTTCAGTACGGACTATAATAATTTATTTGTACTTTTAAACAGTATATAATTTGGAAACTTCAGCTGACACTATAACCTGCCTAAACAATTGCTGCATCACTCATGACTTGTTTTTACATCATCATCAGTAGTAAAGGTCCCTTTACACGCCAGTGGCACATTGGGCATATGAGGCTAGAGTAATATTTTTATTGATCAATGAGACCTTGGTGGGTGATTTGGTCAACATCACTGCAGCCACCTTCACTTCCAAAACCTTGTCTAGAACCAGTTTAAGGCTGGGTCGACCTGGGAGCCAAGGTCATGTAAGAAAAAAATCTGGCTCTGTGCAGATTTGAACCCACCACCTTTGGATCCACAGGCATTCATCTAACCACTACACCATGGCAGCTCCAATGAACTGATTTGTATCTTCTTTTTCTATTCTTATCCTAGTTTAGTTTCAACTTCACTTCAAATTCCTTTCTGTCTTATTTGATCAATCCAGTGTGTATGTGCTACCATTTTCCTTAGTATGTTTCCAATTATAACAAATAACTCCTTTAAATTTACCACATTGCATCATAATCGCATAGCAGGTAAACAAAAACATTTATTCACAATAATTTTCTATTATTTCTCTACAATCTTTACATATTTGCAGGGTTCAGTGATATGTCTCTGACTGATAGAGAGATGGATGAATCACCAGCAACAATTGTGGAATCCAGTGATGAAGAAAGTAGTAGTGAAGAAGATATATCACAAGGTAAAACCAAATTTTATATGATTAAGTTAGTATAGATTCATTATATTTATAATTAAACAAATCTTTTTTCTTTATAATTAAATAACATCATAACATTTCTCAAATCACATTCAGAAACAAATTACATGTTATATTTTTTTTTCATGGGGTAAATTCATTGTTGATTTATTTACATCTTCTAATCTGTAGTTGTAATTTAGGTAACTTACTTTTGTCTGCTGTTCTAATGTAGTCATCATTATTTCTCTTCAGATTTTTTAAAGAGTTTAACTGATCATTGCAGCTGCTTGTTTTTTTTTTTTAAGAAGTCACAGTAAAGTATTTGTTCTTCTTCTTCTTCTTCTGCCTTTCTATCCCCCAATGGAGCATAGGCCCTCAACCAACTCACGCCAAGTCGTTCTATCCTTCGCCATTGCATGGAGCTCTCCCCATGTCCTCCCAATCTTTCTAACGTCATTCTCCAGCTCTCTTCTCCATGTGTTTTTTGGCTTTCCTTTATTCCTATGCCCCTGTGTGTTCCAATGCAAAGACATTCTAGTTATGCTGTTCTCCTGTTTTCTCAGTGTGTGCCCTATACAACGCCAGCATCTTTTCCTCACCTCCTGATCCACTGGAGCCTGTTTAGTTCTCTCCCAAAATTCTACATTACTTATTCTATCATACCATTTTATTCCCTCTATTCTGCGCAGGCACCAGTTAATGAATGTCTGTAATTTATTAGTAATTGCCTTGATTGTTCTCCATGTTTCCGCCCCATACAATAGTACTGATTTGACATTAGAATTAAAAATTTTTAGTTTAGTATTTCTTTTAATTTCTTTTTACCTCCACAAATTCCCTAGTGCTATGAAAGCCCCTCTTGCCTTTTGTATTCCTATTTTAATATCTCTATCAGTTCCTCCATCTTTATCTACATTACTGCCTAAATAGGTGTACGACTCCACGTCTTGGAGTGGGGTGCCATTAAGTGAAACCACATTACTATTTGCCTGATTTATTCTCATTATCTTTGTCTTTCCTTTATGGATTTTCAGACCAAGTTGCTGTGATCTCGCATTAAGTATATTTAATTTATCTTGTATCTGATTCCATGAATGGGACAGAAGAGCAATATCATCAGCGAAGTCCAGATCATCAAGCTGTTTTGTAGGGGTCCACTGAATTCCATTCTTGGTGTTAGCAGTTACTGTTTTCATAGTCCAGTCTATAGCCAGTAAAAATAAGAGAGGCGACAAAAGACATCCCTGTCGCACACCTGTTTTTATTTCAAATGCATCTGTTAGCTTTCCCTCATGAAGAACTCGACATTTCATGTCTTTATATGTTGCCGTTACTAAGTTGATAATTTTCTGTGGGATTCCATAGTGCCCCATCAATTTCCAGAGAGATTCCCTATCAATGCTGTCAAATGCTTTTTCATAGTCTATAAATCCAATGTAAAGTGGTGAGTTCAGTTCAATGCTTTGCTCTATTATAATACGTAATGTGGCTATCTGATCAGTACAGGATCTGTTTGACCGGAAACCTGCCTGTTAATCTCTTAGCTTTTTATCAATAGCATCTTTTAATCTTTCCAAAATAATTCTACTGAATATTTTTCCAGGAACTGACAGCAACATAATTCCTCTATAGTTTTCACACTCCTGTAGATCACCTTTTTTGGGCAGTTTCACAAGATATCCTTCTCTCCAGTCTGCTGGTATTTCTTCGGTCTCCCAGACTTTACTGAATAATCTATGTAGCAATTCTGTTGATGTGTTTATGTTGGTCCTGATGGCTTCAGCTGGGATACCATCTGGGCCTGACCCCTTTCCTTCCTTAAGAAGATTTATAGCTTTTCTAATTTCCTCTTTGGATGGTATCTCACAGTTGATATCCAGTTCCATTTCTAAAGGCTGGATATCTGGGGGAACCTCTAGGCCTGGTCTATTTAGAAGCATTTCAAATTTTCTTGTGTTACTGTAAAGTTCTCTGAGGTTTCCTTTTGCTGCTGCTGTCTCCGCTTCTTGTGCTAGATCATTTAGATATTTCACTTTATCTGCCCTTATATGCCTCCTAACTTCCTTGTTGGCTTCTGTGTAATTCTCCTGAGCTCTAGCTTTAGCAGCTCTAGTTTTGCTATTGTTTAATTCTGCCTTTTTAACTTTTCCTATCATCAATCATTTTAATGGTTTCTGGTGTTATCCACTCTTTGTGTTTCCTTTCTTTTTTGCCAAGAACGTCTACGCAAGATTCATTCCAGATTCCTTTGATCTGATCCCAGCAGACTTCTGTGTTGACATCTTCAGCTAACTGCTGCAACACCTGGTACTTATTAGAGACTGTAACTGAGAACTGTTCCTTAATTTCTTTATCTCTGAGAAAGCCTTAATTATATTGGTTTCTATGATTATAAGATGTTATATATCTTTTTAGTTTCAACTTGATTTTACTTATCATCAGGAAATGGTCAGTAAATACATCGGCACCTCTGAAAGCCCTAACATCGTAAAGGGATGATCTAAACTTTTTGTTAATACATATGTGGTCAATTTGATTAGTTGTCTTATGGTCTGGTGATTCCCATGTTGCCTTGTGTATTCTTTTATGGGGAAAAATACTTCCACCAATAACATACTGGTTACCTGCACAAAAATTTGTGAAACATTTTCCATTTTCATTCATTACTCCTAGACCATGTCTCCCCATAATTTCTTCATAACCTGTGTTGTCTGATCCTATCTTAGCATTCAAGTCACCCATCAAAATTTTTAAGTTGCCCTTTCTTTCATTATTTATAATATTTTGAAGCTGCATGTAAAATTCTTCCTTAACAGATGCATCTTTATCGTTTGTTGGTGCATAACACTGTATTACCGACATGTTCACCTTCTGTTTTGCTGTTCTAAAAGATGCTCTTATTATTCTGGGACTCACAGCTTCCCATTCTATTAGTGTCCTGTCTGCTTCTTTTGATAGCATCAGGGCCACTCCTTCACTGTGCGGCAAATTTTCCTCTGTGTGTCCTGAGAACAAAATAGTTTCTCCTGAATTAAGAGTACTTTTCCCTGTCCCAGTCCATCTAGTTTCACATAACCCCAAAATACTAATTCTATAATGTTTCATTTCCTTTGCTACTTCCATTGTTCTCCCTATATCATAGAGAGTTCTAACATTCCAGGTGCCAATTCTGGAGGTTTTCCTAGCTGAGAAGAGGTAAGTCAACGATCCGGACTCCTTACGGCTTTCTCCACACCGTGTCATACTTCTTCTATTTGAAGAGCCTCCGCTCATCTTGGTTGGCTGGATTTTATTTGCTTCTCTTTTTGACTTATCCATGGTTGGTTGGTTTTTGTGGCTATGGTTTTTACAGGATGAGGTAGCCAACCTCAAGCCCAACCCTACCCTTAGTCGCCTCTTACGACATGCCTGGTAGGGTGTAGTGTCACTATTCTTTGCTTCCCGTGAGGGCCCCGGTGACACACGGGCGTATTTGTTCTAGTCATTTCTTTTATGATAGGACTGATATTGTAATATTATATTTCTCTCGAGAAGATGGAACCAAACATTTAACATTTATTAAAATCAATCTTTCAATCTTGTACAAGTAAGAATTGAGTCATAGCAATAGAAAAAGTCAAATTTTATTTTGAAATCAGAATAGAAATTTAACTTTTTCAGTATTAAGCAGGTGTTTAATTTAACTCCTTCTGTTCTAAGAAGTTGTTACTTTAACTTGATAATGTTTAGGTTAGGGACATTAAAATAATAACGCAATGGAAAAAAGCAATTAAAGTACAAATTTGGATGCAGTGGGTTAGTTTAAAACTGGATGGGTCAAAAGGACTTTGGAAAAGTTTATGTTGAGAAAGGCTCTGATGTGTACGTTGTTCCCCTTCCTCCTTTTGTTAAGTTTCTTAGTCCTAGTTCAGAGAATAAATTTATTGGTATAGCTTCACTGCAATCACTCCTGTTTTCATTACTTTTTGGGAAAGTTTGCCATGACTGTTGAAACTGATGGAAGCATGGTAAGTCAATTACCGCTGAATAAGTTAAAAGTCAAATTGTTACTATAAATATACTTTTCAGTTTGAAATACATTCTCTTTCTATTCTCATTTGACCAGATGAGGCTACCGAGACACCATGTCCGCCTGAACTGAAACTGAGAAATTACCAGAAAGAACTGGCAAAGCATGCAAATGAAGGACTCAACACAATCATTTGTGCTCCAACTGGATCAGGAAAGACGAGAGTGGCAACATACATTATTCAAGAGCATTTTAAACTTACAGACCGTATGTAGAACTAATTGCTGAAATAAGTTTCTAGAAGTATTTCATGAACTTATGGTTGGAATCAGATTCATATAGAACTAGAAAGCATTGTGCAGCAAAGTCATAACACAATTGTTCATCAGATTCTTTGCAAAGTGTCCCTGTCATCATTGCATGTCAAAAAGGTACTGTATCTCTTGTGAACTGTTGGACCTTATGAACAGTTGGGTGTAATTGATATCCTGTATCGACCCTCAGTCTGCTCAACCAACCATGACATTTTTCTTTCTAAATCTCCACCTCAGGAGGGATTTCAACACATAGCCACCAAGTCATTGTGCTAGCCAGTAAGCAGTATTGGCACCTTTTTTTTAATAGCTTTATTTGTTTCGGCTCTACTGTAATAGACACTTTGTGGTGAGTACTAGCCCTTTTTTTTATCATGGGGGAAGGAATATGTGATGTTAACTACTCAATTACTGCAATCTACATTATAAGGCATTATTCACACTGGCATATTTTCCATCATTAAATTATACTATTGAACTTATTAATAATTTTATATCAAGTCTGATTACTGTAAGCATTTTGGTAAGAGTTTATAAAGTAAATAGTTTGAATGTTCTCCTCAGGCAAAAGAGCAAAGGTTGCATTTCTTGCTAGAGTTGTGAGCCTTGCAGATCAGCAGTATAGGTCTTTGCACAAATACTTGCCCTCGCTGAAGGTATGCCTCCGTAATAACACAATTGAATGCTACTTTGATATTGTTTGTATTGTTTTCCTAGTGGCATGAGACTTTAGACATTTTTTTTTCAGAAAAGAAAGCTCCAGTTCCCCAGCTCAAGAAATCTAGCTAACGTGTGCCATAACTTCCAATTATTTTGGATTTATGGTTTTCCTTTGCTAAGAAAATGTGTTGTTCAATAATATTTACATCTGGTGTAGTATGTTATTTACATACATCAAAAGGGTATGCATGGATGCCAAGCCCAGAAAGGAAAATATTAGTGAACTCAATGAATTACTCTTTTCTGATGACCAGTCCTTGGTAGCAGATATAGCCATGAATTTGCATCATCTCACAGGCATGAATGAAGAATGTAAAACAAACAAAATTAGAATAAACACTGAAATGACAGAAGTCTTCTTTTTCTTCTTCTTCGATCCTTCTGTCAGAAAACTTACATGAAAGCTATCGTGCAGTCCATATCCTCTCGTGTACCATACAGTTTTGTCTTCATTGTGGTTGGAACAGGCCAGATTGCGTGTCTGTTGTCAGCATACAGTTGACAGTGTTGGAGCAGATGCTCAGCAATTTAGGGTGGCACTTTTCAGGGACACGTCTCCGTGTTTCCTACACCGAAAAATTTGAACATATGTTGACGAAGTCTGTTGTGCCCAGTCCTTAGTCTAATATAATGCACTGTCCCTCTCTAGAGAGGCGATGAAGCGAGTCTTAGGAAGAGAATTTGGTGTGTGTATCCAGCCACCTTTCTTGGATACTAGATTGTCTTAATAATTTCGTCTCTTGGTGGGTTAAGTCGCTATTTGGTTGTACCATGTCACTGCCGCTTCTGGCCAGTATGTCCGCTATTTCATTGCCTTCCAAGCCACAGTGACTTAGAATCCACTGCAGTACAGATTGTTCTACTGAAGAGCCTAAGTAAATCAGCTATTGCGTCAATTCTACAAACTGAGTGTCTTTTGGGTTAACAATTGCTTGTAGAACTGACATAGCATCAGTCATAAAGACCACTCTGCTATATTTGCTGTGCTGTTGTCTATTCAAGAAAGAACATGCCGCCAGAAGTGCTTCTGCCTCTGCTCTGTAATTGGAGGAATATGAACCTGTTAGTATAGCCTGGTTGATTTTTAAACCATTTGGGCATTCTATGTATATTCCTCCTCCTCTGTCTCTTACTGCTGTCTTGGCTGAACCATCTGTATACACTCTAATCCAAGTATTGAGACAGCTAGCCTTTTTTTACAGTATATGACAATCCTGATCAGTATTAAGCAACATCTCATACAGAGCATTTTCATTCCCATCCTATGCTGGCAATGCCTGACATGGTCATCCACAACAACCCAGAAAAGTAACCTTGGAAATGAGATGCCTCAGAAGGGTTGCAGGAGAGATCTGAAGAGATACAATAGGAAATGATTTCATAGCAAAAAAAAATTTGTCACGGAACTAATTCTGAATTACATAAAAAGACAGCAAATCACATGGTTTACCCACTCAAAGAGCATGCCTTTGGCATGATACCACATAAGGCATATGCCAAAAGAGTAGAAAGGAAAGACACAGAGCATATAGTAGACCAAGAACAATATGGAAAGATAACATCAAAGACACCCTACAATAGCACAATGTGTCTGTGGTCGAGGCAGTCAGAAGAGCAAGATGCAGAACTTGATATTTTCATTGACACCTGAAATGGTAAAAGAGAAAGATGTAGACATAACAGCATGAGAAATCAAGTGTAGAATTTTCTCATCTATTTATGATAGTTACCAGAAAGTCAATAAAGAATTGTTTACATTGTAGATCAGTTGTAATTTTTGTCTGTGAAACCTGGACAATAAGTAACAGCCCAAAAATCTCTTATAGCTTCACAGATGTTGTCTTACAGAGGAATCCTTAAAACTGAGCAGTTAAATTTAAAAAAAATTTAAATTTTTTAAAAAAGCTAAGACATGAAAAGGACTTATCTCAAACATCAGAAAGAAGCAGTCACACTGGTACATGTTCTGACAACTGGAAAGATTTATGGGAAAAAAGAAAAAAGATTCAGGAAGACAATAAGGGAAGATTCTTGACAGCATGTCAGCATTGCATGAAAGAGTATCTTGATGTGAATTGACGTAGTCTATTGAAGATTACAAATTAGTTAGTTAGTTAGTTGGGTTATCCTCATTGCACTCCGGACATGTCCATAGGTGCTCAGATCCTCCCCTCAGTATGAACCCCAACGTCCAATGGCTAATAGTACCAGTTCTATGTTGATTAACAAGTCTTCTGGCGTGTCTGGTGTGCGTCTCGTTTTTTGCTGTGCCGATCTTAATTCCCAAGTCTGCCATTCTGGCGAGTGATGTGGATTCACTGCCACCAAAGTCCTCTATCCTTCCCATTTCTCTGAGGGCATTGATAATATCAGCATGATCCATAGGCTGACCGTCGGTAGTGATAGCGGATCCAGCCAACTTGTCAGCTCTTTCATTTCCATCGACACCTGCGTATCCCGGAACAAAAATAAAGGTGACTCCACGCACAGTGGACTTCTGTAATGATTCAAGCCATTGTCTTCGCACTGAACCTGCCTGAACCCTCCGGATCATACTCATTGAATCACTGAGTATACATATGCGGGTGTATTTTTGTGTTTCAAGCCAGGCAAGCGCTTGCGTCACTGCCATCACCTCCATCGTCATGCTGCTGGTTGTCATGGAGAAGGCGCCATTGGCTTCTTTGACTGTTCTGCCCGCTGAGCGTGCTGTAAATGCCCATGCGCTTCTTCCTTGGCGTATAACGGATCCGTCTGTATAGATTATTGCATCTGCTTTGTCTGAATTTTCACCGATGAGAGCCTTGACCTCTGCATTAACAGCAACAGGATTCTCTTCTCTAGATCGCCTGTTGAGCGTGACAATACAGGAAATGTACAAATAAACGCCTGAGGCACAGGTATCCATTCTGCACCAGGTATGATGTCGGTTAGGCTGCATATTTGCCTAATAACATCTTCTGCCCGACCTAGCCACGATTTTCCCCTCTTCAGTCTGTCGCCCTTTTCACTAAAAAGCGCTTGATTCAGTGGGTGTTTCTTATCAGCACATATTTTGAGATATGCCCGAGCCCTCCACATCCTGATCCTTTGGTTCATTGTTGGAAAGTCAAGTAGATACCTCATTGCTCCACAGGATGTGTCTCTTGTACATCCCAAAATAATGCGCATGGCTTCATTTTGCACCTTTTCGAGTCGTTCAATCTGGGTAGCACTGACAGTGAGGATGGCCAGAGCGTATTCAATGGGGGAAAGGACCAGACCGTAGAATAGAAGTATAAGTAGTCTTTGCTCGATATTGGAAGCAACCATAATCCTCATTGCAGATAGACCTTTGCGTGCTTTTGTTATCACATGGTCAACGTGTTCCCTGAATGACAAGCTGCGATCGAACCTCACCCCGAGAAACGTCATAACGTTGGTTCTGATCAATACATTATCACGCATTTTCACTTCTGGTAAGTCCGACTTGACAATGTGATTGTTCAAAGAGAACCATGACACTGATGCCTTCGAAGGATTGACATAGGCATTGGAACCATCACACCAGGCGGTAATTCGATCGAGTTCTTTGTGCATAGTGCTGGCGATCTCCTGTCTATCACACCCTCGTCGATAAATCAAAATGTCATCAGCAAATGACAAAGTCCTTCCCTCTCCATTCAACTGCTGCTCAGTGATCATCACCGTATAAACGTTGAATAAGACTGGTGATAGCGGTGATCCCTGTGGCAAGCCTGGACATATCGTTTGCGGTTCTGAGGACCAGCTACCACATTGAAGATTACAAAATGGGAGACACATGATTGTGCATGGTAGTCAGCAGGACACTTATTGATAATGATTATGAAGTGTAAATGTCCACTCAAGGCTTTTCATAGGTTTTTTTGTCCTTGATTTTACTTCATTTAAAGTTATAACACCTATTCTTTAGATTGATTCCTGTCTCATTTATCTCATAGACACAGTTTATTTTGTTTGATCTATTTCTTTGGTTTTTCTCAAGACTTAAAAATTAAAGTAATTATTAGCTTATGGGAGAAATTGGTTTGATGTGTGAATGCAAACACTATTGGATAAATATTGATATTTTTTTAAAACCATAGTTGTTATCATTTTATGCTAGTAAAAAGAAAGACAGATTACTTTATTTTCTTTCATGTTTACTCCCTAAACTGAGCTCATAGCAGTTATTCAATATCATCTAGCATTTCAGCAACACATGTTGGTTGTGAAACTTCCTCATCATCTTATTCCACAGGTAACTCCAATGTTTCATTTCTTGGGAAATTGTATACAGTAAAACCTTGTTAACACAAAATCCCTTAAAAATACTCAGTTAACATGAACGCAGTTTTGGTCCCTGCAGATGAAATAATTTGAGTCCTGATTAGCAGACATTTATTTAACACAAACTCTTGATTTTTCAGTATTTTGGAATTTGTATTAATGAGGTTTTGCTGTGGTTTTGACTTCCACACCCTCTTAGGTTTTGACTAACCACAGTCTTCATTCTAAAATGTAAGATTAAGAGCATTGTGGGCCTCCCCTGGAAAACCAGTGTGCTGTGGCCTCTAAGAAAATCACTCACAGGAATAAAATTGCAGTCATCATCATGTAGCAGGTCCTTTGCAGAACTTCACTCTCATCACAGTCTGCCTGAAAGAAATTCATTCTCTCGCCAGCTCTCCCGCCTCATGCACTTTCATACTCAAGGAGTCACTTATATCCTGTGCCCATCTTTGTGTTGGTCGGCCTCTGCCCCTCCTTCCTGGTACCATGCCTTCTGATATAATTTTTCTAATCCGTTGTGGTGCTTGATATGACCAAAATATTTCAGCTTCCGAGAAAGGATGCTGTTTATTAGCCAATCTTCCTTGATGTTCAGATCTTTCAAGATCTCAGTATTTCTCCTCTTTTTCATCCAAGATATTCTGAGAATCTTTCTATAGCATTTCAGCTCAAAAGCCCTTATTCTCTTTCTTAAGGACTGGGAGATAGTCCATGATTCACATCCATATGTAGCCACAGGGAAGATGCATGCTCTCAAAATTCTAATTTTTATCTCCTTGCTGGTGCTTAACTGTATACTTTTTAGGCTGTTTAACCTTTGCATTGTTATGGCCATCCTCCTTTTAATTTCTGTCAAACAGTAAAATGTCAGTGGTCAATAATATTAAACCTATGTGTGTATATATATATATATATATATATATATATATATATATATATATATATATATATATATATATATATATATATATATATATATATATATATATATATATATTTTTTTTTTTTTTTTTTTTTTATTTATTTTTTATTGGCACTTCTATAAAACATGGTGAAATGTAAACATAGACTGTATGACACTGTTTGAAATTACTACGAACTTCTTATTGTGACAAGCGGCATTTTTTCTTCACAAAATTGCTTATCTGCTTGAATTCAGTGGTCTTCAGGATGTCATTTTCAGTGCACATGAGTGAAAGCTATATCAAACGATGCTGCCCTATTGAGCTGCGAAGAACATTTTATAATAGTTTTGGTCTTGAAAAAAAAATGTTCACATGTACAGTTGGTTACCATTATACATATGAACACTCTAAGTGCAATTTGAATTCTGGAAAAAAGATTTTAAATTGTCCAAAATTATTTTTTTTTGTACAGTACAGTTAGAATCTCACAATTTTCAATAATAAATATTGAGTGCTTGATATACTCATATTTATTTAAAAGGTCATCATAATTCCGGGTTTGTGGTATACATTAGCCAGATGTTCACCACATTTTTTAAAGTGCATCTGAAGGACGACCATCTCGAGAACTTAAAGCTGAATGGGTCAGATCCAAAGCAATGGTTTTCAGTTTACTGAAGAAATAAAACAGATTTCCAATTTGTGAATAAGTCTCTACATGTATTGTTAGTTCAAAGATTAGAGTGTCCAGAATCGGGGGGAAAGTTTATACTTTGAACTTTTTGGTTTTACTGAGAAGTACCTCTTCTAGCAGCTCTCCTGATCTATCATATCTGCTGAGATACAGATTTCGTTGTCGTTCTCGTTTTTTCCCATTACTGGAATCTGCATCTCGACAAGGACTTCAGACTTTCAAATCATATTCACTAAATATGGCTCCAGTTTCATGGTGATAGGTTTTCAAAGACTCCAGATGATTCATGGCAACAAGGATATTCATATACTTTGATTGCAGGACCTTACTTGGTGTATTCATTCTTTCTAGCATGTCACTCCAAAAAATAGTTAGAAAGATTCTTTCCAGGTTTCCCATTTATTGTTTTGTTTTATCCTTCTGCATCTCTCCTTGTATTCACTAGCTGTTCATTGCCAGCTGATAAAGAATACAGTGCATGTTTTAATTTCTCAAAACCCCCATACAGAGAGCATGCACAACATCAACATGTGCTGACCATCGTGTGTCAGATGGACGCCTAACCACAACATCTTTTCTGGAACGTTCCTCCAATAAGTAGAGCCAGCAGAAAAATAAAAGCTGATATATAAAAAAAGTCAAAGGAATTTACATACTGTAGACAACCCTCTGTTGCTGTTACTCCCACAAAGTTCAGGCTGTGTCCGGCACAAGGGATATAGATGGCAAATGCATTGAGTTGATGAATCCCGGCTTGAAATCCATTATATCGTCCAGACATAATTGAGACATTATTGTATGACTAACCACAGTGGTTTGATTGTAGAATTTTGTTCTCGTTAAGAAAATCCACAGCAGTACCTGTTAAATTTTTCACAGTAAATGTATGCAAGATGTCTTGAGTGGAATCAATGTTTACTGAATAATATTTTGAGTTTTTTACTTCTTTAAGGATAGTACAAAGGACCTGTTGTTCCATTAACTCAATAAATTTGTAAGACATAGTGGCCTATATATATATATATATATATATATATATATATATATATATATATATATATATATATATATATATATATATATATATATATATATATATATATATATATATATATATATATAAAGCATTCTCTTTTCCACAATGTCCATATATTTTGAGATATTCTTCCAAGAAATAGTCAGATTCACTCAGCAGCTCTAGTGTACTTAAAATAGTTGACATTTTGTCCTGACAAAATAATGAAATTACAAACCTCTCGAGGCAAGAAAGTGAATTACAGAAACGACACATGTCAAAACTTGAAATCAGTATTCCTGCTCTGAGTTAACATATGTGTGTGTGTGTGTGTGCGTGCGTGAGTATGAGAGAGAGAGAGAGAGAAATTTAATTTTGTATTATATTAGAAAGATTTCATTTATACGTCAAATATAATTTTAGTTTTGTTGAGTCACTTTACATTACATAGATTAGCATGTGGCCCTGGGTAAGTGCCCAGCGGGCCCATGCTTTAAGACGGCTCTGGGTAAGTGAATAAAATACTTTATAGCAGTCTAAGTAAAACAGCAGAAATGCTACAAAGTTGTCTATTAATCCACATGGATACCTAACTCCCATAGCTACATTAGTGGTATGCCAGTCCTCTGCAGCATAAAGGTGCAGCTAAGGCTTTGCTTTCTTCATGACAGAACAAATGGTAGTTTCCCAGTCTCTCCAGTAACTAGGACAACTGGTATGAAAGTTTTTTCATTTTCTTTTTCACTCACCTGATTGCACTGGTTTTATTTTATTTTATTTTATTTTTTAGTTGTTGTCATTTTTACTTACTAAATTGCCCTTGCAGCAGGTATTAATGTTATCCTATTTGTTATCATTTTTTAAAATACCACTTCGCACTCATAACTGATATTTAACTAAAGTTTAGAAAATGACCCTTTCTATACCAGTGTTGCATTGGTATGTGATGTAGCCGCATTTTTTCATAAATCAATCAGCATTTGAAAGCTGATGTAGTTAACATCTCATTAGCTGAATTTACTTCTTGTGGCATCTTCTGCTACCCAGTTTTTAAGCATTGTTGGCCAGGGAGCCAAGGTCAATTATTTCCTAATTCACCTGCTGCAAATTAAAACCCTAAGCATTTGGCCCAGCAATGAGCAAAATCTGATGTCAATCTTCTATTTGATCTCATTTTAGCATGCCAGATTGCACTAGCCATGTATCAATGCTATATATTTGTTACTTTTTTTCACTTGCTACATAAGATTCATTTCTGGTATTAAAATTTTGTTTTCATTATTTATTGCCAGATTGCACTCATAACTGGTAGCACTAGTAACACCATGAGTCTCCATCTGCTACTTCCTGAGTATGATATTATAGTGATGACACCTATGATACTGGAAAATCATCTGAGAAGTAATCGTCTGCCAAATCTTGCTGTTTTCTCAATGCTTGTATTTGATGAATGTCACCACACTCGAAAAGGAGAACCATACAACACCCTCATGGGTTCTTATCATAAAACCAAAGACCAGATTTATCAAGCAGCAAACAGAGGTCAGCCAGTGAATATTATTTTACCACAGGTAATTGAAAGAAAAGGTTCAGAATAACTGGGCCTAGTGTTTTATTATTATTAAGTTCTATATTCAGAAAAGAGGGAAATTACAAAAATATCTAGTAGTTTTTGTCAAGATTCAGGCATTGATATTTGAAAATCTTCTTAGGTTAAAATCATTTACCTGAAAGATCTGTTGTCTGACATATTTGAAGCTTGTGGGCTTTAACGGCTCTGGACAAAGGGAGAACAACAAAAGAAAAGTTGCTGCTGTCTTAGCTATAAGTACACACTGGAGACATAGACTTTGTCCCAGTAAATAAATGAATGTCTTCAGAATGATCAAGATTAACTTAATCTGAAAATAGTGATTGCGGTCTCTGAAAAGGTTATGGCTGACAAAAAAAAGTGATGGATAGAGAACTAATGACTACATTAAAAGAATATGGATCGATAGCAGCTGAAGAAAGCTATGTTAATGTTTTTTTGACTGTGCTCAGCGTGGCTTGTCTAGTGAACTGCAGGTTCAAAAAATGACCAACAGCCTGTTCATCTTTGTTGTTCATTTTTGAGATCGTCATCATTACACAGTGCACATCAACAGTAGCCTGTTATCTGCGATAACTAGCGGCGCCTCATGTGAATAATTGTGTGGGCAGCTACCAATCTGATGTAACCACCATGATGAATAACATTTCTAGTGTCAGGCTGCTTGTGTAGGCAGCCTTATGCATTTAATGAGTGTGCATGTTTTTGGCTTTGCTGAAACTGTAGACACATTTTGTGTGTGTACAGACAGTGAAGAACCTTCTGTGTGGATATCATTTGCACATGAATAGAGCAAGTATAGGGTGACTCATTTTCTATGAAGTTGGAACTGTGATTAGCTGATTACCTATCTGACCTCGGAACACAGACTTAGACTGCTCCTCTCCAAATCCTATTGTCAACAGCAAATAGCCCAAACAATAAATTTTTGAGCAACAAAGAAGGAAAACTGTCATTTCCTTATGTGAAGGTCACATCCTTTAGTTAGGTAGTTGAGACTCCAACATCACTGCATGGGGGGTCGTCCCATAACTGCTCCACTCCTGTGCCAGTGGAAACCACATAAAATGTTCTTCACTGTCTAAACTGAAACCAGTGAAAATCGTGTCAGTCACCACAAAATCTTGAAGCTTGCACATGCAAAGTAAAAATGAATAAGGCAGCTATCAGATGTGTCAGCACTATTGGTCCCAAACTAGACATGTAGCTCACTATTGGCACGAATTACCAATCACAAAATGGCAGTTGTTTTATGTGTTGTTCAGGATAATTTCAAGAGCTTTATGTTTAGTTATATAACTTCAGTATGCATTTCTTCTAAAATTAAATTAAAAGAAATACTAGACATTTTTTAATAAGAGCAGTAGTTGAGAAATTGTAGTATTTGGACTAAAATAACTAATTTAAACTTGCAAACACCTATCAAATTTATTGAGTTGTTAATCAGTGACAAGAGACTATAACCAGTCCTTGCATCTGCTATGTAGAGCTGGGTTTAGTGTATGTAGGTGACTGAGAACTCCAAGATTGAGTTTTGTGAAATGCTGTTTGGCAATATGGGCAAGAGTTTTGACCACCTTAGTTCAGGTTTTCAGTCTGTGGTCTTTCCAGGTTTGTCGTTATTGAATTGCTGCTGCTTTCCAGCTGCTTCACAGGCCATCGCTCCTCAGTGCAAAGTCAACACCACATTCATAATTTCCTATCCCACTCCAAAAGCAGGTATAACCACCATCCCTTTAACACAGCACATCTCCACCTGCTAGCTGTCTAACTCAAGGCTGTAATGTTGTTGTTATATCCATCAGGCTCTCTCCCAGTCAAAGTGGAATACTTCTTGCGGATCTGATCGTGTTTTTCATTTTAAATATTTTTCTTTGTTTAGAGTATCCTCCAAATATTACATACGATATAACAGAACTCCCTGTGTGGGTCCTGGGGTCCCATTATGGGGAAAACAAGAATAGAACCACTACTTCCCCAACAAGCACGTCGTAGGAGTTTGACTAAATGGGGGCATCCTTCAAAGTAAGAGTATATCTGTCTATGAAGAATCAGCATACATATAAGCCAGATCTGTGAAATGGATGTGCACACAGCACTCAAGTTCTAGAACAAGACTAAACTCCAAAGGTGAATGAACACCCAGAACTTTCCGCAGAAGTTTACAGACGATGAATGCGAAGAAGAAGAAGAAGATAGATATTAATGGAACAACTTCAGCATTTTTGTTGTTGTTTTTCTTTTTTGTTGGTCGATCACATAGCCGCAGCAATCAACGGTGATCTTTAAAATACCTGAATTTGCAAACCAAAAAAAAGAAGCCTAAAATTAAACACATGACCTTCACAGTAAAGGATAAACCTTAAACATTTGAGATACAAATGACACTTCATTATCCACTCATAACCTGAAAGGTTCAACAAGATATCATTCATAGGAAAATTATCACTATTACACTTTATTTTAAAAAATACATTATCATATTTTTTCAGTATTGTCTGACCACAAATCCAGTCATATTTGGCAAGTTGACTGGTATCCATCAAGGAGAGCCAGTTAATCGTGATGTGTTTCTTGGGACAGAAAGAGTTTCTTCTTCTTCTTCTTCTGCGTTCGACATAAGTCATGCTAAACATTGAGTCCCGTCTGGGTCACAAAAAAGATTGTGCATTTAAGGTTGCCACTGGTCCCCCATAGCTTCTCTCGCAATGTGGATCCCCTGGGCCAGATCCACAGTCTTTGCTGGGAGAGGTAAGGGCAGTACTGCAGTATGTGCTCAGGGGTTAAAGAGTTAAAAGAAGCTATTTATAGAGCCCATGGTGAGATGTTTTGCAGTGTCTGTTCCCAAGACTGTAATGCACATATTTACCCCAGATATTAATTACAGTTTTTCAATGTCAGATTGTAGGTCTGACAGCATCCATAGGCATTGAAGGAGCTGAAGAGCTGGAGGTAGCAAAGCACAACATTTTGAAAGTTTGTGCAAATTTGGATGCTTGCAAAATGTCAACTATTAATGATCACATACAGGAACTCATGGATAATGTTCCTGTTCCCAGAGAAGGTTAGCTTGTTTGTCTCATCATCATCATCATCATCATCATCATCATCATCATTACCACCAACACCACCACCATCATCATCATATGCCCTGTCTAAAAGCATAGGTAGTCATGTTTCACCATCTCACAGGATCAACAGAATCTCAGATCAGGTCAGTGCTCTTGTCTCACCCCATCCAGAAGATTAAGCCTTTCCCTTGCTTTTTTTGTTGGTGTTGGGGGGAGGGGGGGGGGGGTCATTTTTAAAAAAAAAAGTCCGGCTCCGCCATGAAGTGAACCCACAACCTTCCGATCCAAGACAAGTGTCTAGCCGCTTCGCCACAGCAACTCCCACTGTAAAGGAAATGATTGTTTTTTTTTCCTTCAACAGAAAAAATCCAACTTAAGGAGGATTTGAACCTTGGTCTCCCAAATGAGAACTGATTGTTCTTAACCATTTGGCCAGCCACTTTTTACTTCCTTCTGGGTCACACGGTGGAAATAAAAATTAACCAGATCAGCATTTCTGTTTTAGAAACAAAAACTCTTGAAGAGCGGAAGGATGATGAAGCAGTATTTGCAATCACTGATGTCATGAAGACATTGGAGTTTTACATGGAGCAGTATGCTAAAGGTATGTTTTCACTGCCTGTGTTTACCATGATTTAGAACAGTAAAGGGCAAGAGTGGGTGGTTTTTATATTTACTGTTGCATGGCTAGTGCAGTCACCACAAATTGAAAGTAGGATTTTGTTTTTTCCTTTAGAGAAGAATCTCCATCACCTTGCCTGAGATTCGAACTGGGGTCTCCTGAAGCCTTCTGTCTGTTTGGCTAGCAACTTCTCATACTAAAGATGTATTAACTTTTTTTAGTACCAGACAGATTTTAATGTAACTCGTTCTGCCCTAAGCAGTTTTTATTTTAAAATAAATATAGTAGTGTGAGGCAGAAGAGTTAAAGACAAAATAAATATATATAATATATAAAATACATCTTATATTTGAAAAAGAAGAAGTAATAAATAACAAGCTTACTTTTGGCAGGTTATTTTAATGTTGGCTGTTTAAGTACGTTTTCTCACTGTGTTAAAATACAGTTTAGAAATATACAGATATAATTCGCTGCACTATTTGACACTAGCATCTATCTTCTTCTGTACAAATCTGCTTGAAAGAAATTATTATACAAAACATAAAAACTATTCACTACCATCACATTTGCAAATGTTTATATAATTTTAATTTATAAAACAATTATTTAAAAAACTAGCAGTCATTTGTTACTAAATTTTATTATAGTTTTCAAATACATTCAACAAAATGTTAATAAATATAATCTATCATCAGTGCTCAAGTCTGTGAAACTGGATGAAGAAATTAGGAAAAAACCCTCTGACAGAAAGAGTCAAGAGTACGAGCAGTGGGCAATCAGCACAAAGAAAGCTGCTGAATCAGTGCCCATTGATAAATCTGACAATGAGAGGGATACATATGTTAGGCTGATCATCATAACTGCACGATACCTAAAAGTGAGTCTGAAGAATGATGTAAAACTTTACTCATAATCTGTCAAATATTTACTGATTAATTTTGTTCTAACTGGTTA